TGAAACCGAAGAAGAAGTGACTAAAGAGTTGAACGAAGAGATCAAAGAAACTATTGAAGAGAACATCGATATAATAGAAGACAATCTGGAAATAGAGGAACCACTCGAAGAGGTTGAGGACCCGAACACCGCTCCTGTGATTGACATTGAAGTGGAAGACAGTGACGAAGACTCAAACAAAGAGGCGGCCACTAAAGTGTCAAATAAAGTGCTTTTGGAGGCGTTTTTCAGTTCGACGCAATCGACAACATTGTCTCTATACTAGCTATTCCGCCGGTAGCTAAAGACGTGTTTGGAGTTGTGGTTCTTATTGGCGTTTTTCGACTAGGCAGTAGAGAAATGTCAGGGCGCTTGAGCTGAGCTAAAATTGCCTTTCTATTCGCGATTTGTGGCACAAATATCACCCATTATGCCAAACATTGCCACCGATTTGGTGACTCTTCTCAAACAGGACTTCAAGTTTTTGTTCCGAAAGAAGGATCAGATAAACATCGAGAGTAAGAAGAAAAACGTGCGATTTATCGGAGAATTAGTCAAATTTGATATCTTCCCCAAAACTGAAGCACTCTTTTGCCTTAAAGTAAGTTTGAAAACAATTGCTTGTAATTTAAGAATAGACTGATATTTATTGTGACTGTGTTTTCGTATAGTTATTATTAACTGACTTTCGTCACCATCACATCGAAATGACATGTAATTTGCTGGAGACGTGCGGCCGATATCTGTATCGCTCTCCGGACTCTCATTTGAGATCAAAACTACTTTTAGATCAGATGATGAGGAAGAAGGCTCTCTTGCCATTCGACTCGAGATATATAACAAACATTGAAAACGCCTATTATTTCGCAAACCCTCCCGAATCACAAGCCGTAAGAATTTTCTTAAAAATGAAGTATTGATTAACTTTTTAATTGACATTTTGATCGCTATTCAGATCACTCGCATAGAGAGGCCTCCAATGCATGAATACATTCGTAAACTTCTTTACCACGACTTAAACAAAGCAAATGTCGACAAAATACTGCGACAAATGCGAAAACTGAATTGGGATGACCCGGAGCTGTCCTCATACACCGTCAGATGCCTGACCGCCATCTGGAACGTGAAGTTCTATAACGTGCGGTGTGTGGCCAACCTGTTGGCCGGTCTGAACTCATTCCAGGAGTGGGTGGCACCGCAAGTGATCGA